TTTGTAAACACCCCCACCTTCTGAGTCTATCACAGATTGACAGGAAATTTATTTTCCTGAAAGGTAAAGAAAAAAGAAGTTGTGTCTTCCACAGCATTTTAAGCATCACATTTTCTTTGGCAAAAAAACTTTCATATGGACCCTTATTGTACATGATATGCAAATTTAATTCACTATCTACAACAAATGGTTTCAGTACAAAACTGATATAATTTTTAATTTAAACAACATCTTTTTAATCTTAGCAAGGAATTTTAAAAGAAGATTTGTATACAAAAAAGTATTTACATGCAGCATTACAAATCCCAACAGGTCTGAGATTTCATTCTGTTGGTTTTGTTGGTGAGGGCTGCTAGCTCCTTCTGAACAATCCTATCATTCCCATTTTTACAAAGGCACTGACCCTAGCCAAGAGCACTGCATTTGGAAAAAGTTGATGAGACACAAAAAAAAGCTACATTATTATGTTCAGCCAGGAAGCCTTTGTCACCTTTTTTCAACCTTAAGACTCAGTGGCTAAAGGGTACTTCAGAAAACACATTAAGTATCCATGTTCCTGAGCTGGGCCATGCCAGGAGAGTTTTACTTATCCTGACTTTGGCATCCCGTGAGGCACCAAGGTCTGGGCTGATCACTGCAAGGAGCCCTCAGTTTTGGGGGAGTCCAGCAGTGCCCTGACACAGCAGTGTCCCCATCCTTGGACAGATGTGCTGCCTGCTGTCCCCACGGAGGCAGGGAGGAGGGCAGAGGCTGCCAGGCACACACAGCTGGAGCTGAGCTGCGGAGCCGTGACCGATGCTGCCAGCTGCACACCACGGCTGCTTACTCACACTTTATTGTCTTGGGTGACAATACTCAGCTTCTGGCCTTGTTACCACTTCCTTGTGGGCTTTGTCCGCTTCCTCAGCCCTGGCTCAACATTATGGGCAGAACTATGTGAGTCAGAGGAATTCATGTGACTTTCAGGAAAAAAAAAAGTATTGCGGGAAAGCACCTGTATTTTAACAAGGGAACATTTGACCTGGAGTGTTTCTCAATCCAGATCAGGTCAAGGGTCCCTGAGCAGCTGTGCCATCACAAGCAGGGAACAGCACACCATCATGCATGGATGGACAGACGGACGGACGGACAGATGGATGGATGGATGGATGGATGGATGGATGGATGGATGGATGGATGGATGGATGGATGGATGGGAGAGGAAAGTTTGTGAGTGGAAAGAAGATGCTAGTGGCACCTAAAACTGGTCAAGTTGAAACCACAATCCCACACATTTACCAGTCAGACGGAAGTGGAACAAAATTAGTCCAATGCTTTCTATTTTTTATGAGTTACTCAAAATATAAATTTTATTAAGGGCAACACCCAGCTGTGGTGAGAGAGAAATAGAAAATGAGCATGTTTCCCCAGATTTCAAAGTTTTTGCTAAGATTGCTAAATCAGAAAACTTGATAAAAGCTGAAATCCTGTCAGTGTGTTGGTATTGCTTATCCTCAGCTAATTAGAGGAGTCTACAGCTCAGCATTTGGGAAGAACTGGGGTCTGAGTCTATTATCATCTTGAAGCAGAAGTGGTTCAGATAAATCAAATTCCTATTTCTGTTGGCTCTGGAAATCAATATCTATTTCTCAGGATCCACTATGGTTTAAGAACTGGTTCCAGCTAAGAACATCATGGTGAGTGTTCTCTGCTGCTTCAAACTCTCCCTTCTCCAATAGTTGTACTACAGATACAAGCTGGATCATGTCTCTCCAAAGACTGAGCCATACAACCTGTATTAAATGAACCAATTAGCTCATAATTTAATTGTAAGAGTAGTATTAATTTATGGGTAACTGAGGGAAAAAAAAATTACTTGTTACCAAGGTTTTGACTATATTTGATGTTTCTCTATATGGTGCATGGTCTGTGGTCCTGCCTAGCATCAGTCTCCAGCCAACCTGGCATGAGCGCACCCTTGATTCTCCCTGGTAAAGGGCACTAATGCAGCACCACAGAGTGACCCTGTCCTGGAAGGTGACCCATTTGTGGAGCTAAGGAATCAAATTCAAATACATGCAAACTTTGGTACTGGCTGGTGTAGTTGGTGGTCCACATGGGAGCAGTCAAGACATGAGATACCTTACACTCAGATGTGCAACTTCTACCTGTCCTCAGTTCAGCAGCAGAACTACTTCCAACTCCACCTCTTCCAGGGACGTTGTATGGAAAAAGTTTTTTCTTCACAAAAGAAAGAGCTCTAACTAGGTGAAATATAAAAGAAATAGTAAAATTACATTCACTTACATACTTGATTCCTTTAATAATTATTAAGAAGCCTAGACAAAATTCTGATTTTGGTCTTCTACCTAAGACAACCACGTGATGCAGATGCAGAACTAGGCTCACAGTTATTTACAGAAATATATGACCTAAATTCAAAAGCCTTTGTATCCAGATAAATGTACTACCACAGACACTCACACAGGGTGAAATTGTACCCTAGGCTAAAGAAGAACCACTGGGCAAATGCAGACCTGACATAAACTGACAGAGCCTTATGTACTTGTACAGGTCTCAACCAGCACTTCCTCATACAGGATATACACCACAGACAGAATCATGAACATGGACATTTTACCCACAGCATTTGCTTAGTTTGCATAAATTTCCCACAAATTACCAGAACTTTAGCTGATGAAGACTTTATATCAGTTTAATTGAATTTATGCTACCCAAATAAATTGTCTATTTAAGTCGGAACATCATTTATTCTTATAAGCATAAAGAAATAATGAAAACACATTATGAAGTGACACAGAACATTTTATAAAGACATTTCACTGACACGGTGCATAAGCATTACAACATTTTCACTTCAGCTCTACAGGACAGCATTAGATAAACCAGGAGCATCCAGTTTAATACAGACCTGGTGACAGGTATTTAGCAAAACTAGCTAACAGTTTCTATGCTTTCAAGATACTAAAGTAGGTGTAAGTTCCCTTGAAGTTTAACAAAATCTGAACTGAATAAAGACGCTAAAGCAGAATATATCTATAAATATAGATATAAATAATTTATAAGGTAAACACAATAACTTCAATTTAAAGGCTTAGCTCTTAATAGCTGCTAGTTTTTCTAAACTTCAATTTTAATCCTTCCTCTCCACCACTAAAACAATGAAGTTTTTTACCTTACTTTTGCTGTCATCCATTGCTGTTACACATTACAAAGCAAAAGGTCGATGGCAAAGCTCTGCTGGAGCTTCTCAGCACATGACATTACAATGACTCACTAGAGGCCCCAAATCACTCAGTCTCAACCGAAGTCTGTTCAATTCCAGTGTCTAGGTTTAAAGGCAGCCTTAACATCCACGACAGGTCTGTAGTGAGCTGGATCCTTGGTTCAAGTGAATCTGAACATCACCTTTCACACCAGCTGTGAATCAGGTCTGGGCAAAGCAAAGACAGATTTTGCTATGTAGGGTTACCATGAAGAAATGTTCAGAGATAAGGAGATTACAGAGAACACAGCAGACAATTCATAGAGACATGATTCAGACTTCCATACACAGCTGAGTATCTTCTCCATATAGCCTTGCTGATTTTAATCAAACTGCTACAGGAATAGGGTACTGTATAATGTGAGCAATGTAGTCAGGCCACAGATGATCAATACAGACACTTGTAAGGGCAAAAAAGAAGTCTTAGACCCACATGCGGGTTTCTTATTAATGGTTTTGTCCATGATCTGGAACAATACTCCATCCAACACATCATACAAAAATCTAAAATTAAATTATTTTAGTAAGTCAGAGTGGTGTAGGAAATTTCTTGGTCTTGTCTTCAATTCAGTGAAGGTATCCACTGTTTTTTACATTGAAAGGCTACATGGAAGACAGATAGGTCTTTGATGGAATACGTTTGTTCACACATGAACATGAATCAATGAATAACTGTAAATGGAATAGCACAGCCCATCAGAACAGCGTGTTATGGATGCTAAATTAACCAGTAGTCAGTAGTTCATTAAGCTATACCACCTTCAGAGAGGTTCCCATCTGAAGCCAAAGGCTGCAAGCCAAAATATTTTAATGAATAGAGTTCTTAATTTTCTCTTGACCTGCATACTGACAGTACGATCTGTCAGCCTGTTCTCACTTCCCACTCACTGACCAGCCAGCAGAAAGCAAAGACCTGCAGCAGCTCCGAAGGCAGCAAGGATGCCTCCTTCCCAAGGGGTTGGGGTGAAAACACAAAGAAGTGCTTCCCTACTTCCTGCCCAGGCAGAAACACTGCTGGGTGCCAGCTGCCAGCGCTGCTCTCAGAGCTCAGAATCCCCTCACCTAAAAGTAATTGCAGAGATGTTCAGTCAGACAGTATCTTTGAAACTGATGACAGAACACTAGTACTGGAAATACCAATATCTCTGGAAGTAACATTAATCAAATTAGGCCTCAGAATACAGAAGTATAAATTTTTAAAAATGTGTGCTGATGTCTAACTCTATACTCTTCACATTGCTTATACAGAATGATATAGTAGGATCAATGGATTTGGCTCTGGGCATAGTGCAGGTGCTCACACAATGTACCACTTGATTTCAGCAAGAGCTGCAGAGAACAGTTCCTAATCCCTGATACACAACACTCTCCTCTTCACTATGTTAAATCACCCACTCCCAAAACAAAGAGGTTCTGTGTTATTCTTTTTGAATTTCTACATGATTGAATCATTCTATAACTTCATTCAATCTTTTTCCTCAGGTAAAACTTCCACTGCAACAACAGAATCTTTATGTGTTGAACACATGAGTGAAACACAGGGTAGGAGTAAAGGAGCTGGTAAAAAAGTGCTTTCAAAATTTTTAATGTCTTAGAAAGTTCCAGGAGTGGAAAATTACTAAAATAGAATAAAATAATGTAATCAAGAATGCCTTTTCCCTCTACAATATATTTTTTTAAGAAACATAACTCTTAGAGGCACCATTTTTATTCCCCTGCACTGCCTTAGAAGACCTTAATGTGTAGAACAAAGCAGAAGAAGCTGCATGGCTCCTAGGAGGAAGATAAAAAGGCTTTGTTTTCTTGATCTACTAAACACTAAATGAACCCAGTGTTCCAATAGCTTTTGGTCAGGCAATTCACAAAATATTCCTGTCCAGCCCTGGTAACACTGACAAATAAACCTCTGCTTCATGGCTTCAATACTCTCCAGGCTGGGTTTACCAGTCACCTGGAACCTGGGGCCCCTCTCTGAGTGACTGTCATGGATCTTAAAATCACTGGGGGACAAGTGGAGGTAAGCAGAAGAGTCGCTGTTTTTGCGGATGCATCTTCCATTCTTCTTGCACAGGACTTTGCTGCAGAGCTTGGCTGCTGAGGTCACGTTAATGACGTAGTGTCCCAAAGGCCCATCGACGTACTGCTTCACTGTTAAGCAGCTCTCCTGCGAAAATTAAAATACCACAACACATTTCTCAGTATCTAGCATTATGTTCAAGTTTGTTATGTCTAAAAAGATGCTATTACTAAATTGTTCTTGCCCAAAGTAATCCATTGAGATAAATCTTGTTTGCTTACATACTTGAGGGATCTATTTAGTTTGGTTTAAATGAGTTTATTTCCATGTGTAAGATTAGAAAAGTATTGACATCTGCTATAGTTTCTATTTGAATGCCTGGTAGGAACACATAGTGTGAGACTAGGAAGGATTCCCAGGAAAAAAAAAGAGGGTTAATATGGTTCATATCTGGGACTAAGTGGTCCCTTAAGTAGAGATTTCTGGTAACTGCTGACTAGGAGAAATGTATGGGACTAACAGGTTTTAAAGCACAAATCAAGTCACCACTCTGGCCCTGATCACTCCAATACTTTCAGTTTACCAGGAGCCACATAATATTCATAAACCAGCACAGGAGTTGCTGCAATTGCAACTCGAAAGTTCCAGTTCAGATTTCCTGGTTCCTCTGACCAAGTCAGGGATGCTTTGCCAGAGACTTCAGGAGTTGGACAGCAGACTGCATGAAAAGCAGAGGGGGCACCAAAGCCCAGGTTTAGGAATGGGGGCTATCCTGCTGTGCCTCCTGAGGAACTCCAGTTCTACCTCCCACCTCCTCAAGAAGGTTTATTTCTGAAAGTCTGAAGAACCCAGGAGAAATAACTAGGGCTTGTCTTGTGACATTATTTTCCATGTAACATTTCAACATTAGCAACTGGAGAAAATACCTCGCCTCCAGGATCCATTCCCTCCCAGTCGATCTGGACAACTGCAGTAGTTACAAAGCAGAACACTGTATAACTAGTTGTGCTTATATTTGCATGGCATTGTTTTGAAATATGTCTTTCTCCTCACCTGGACATTATTCCACTGAGCTACAAATGACATGCCCAAAACAATGTGCTCTGGAGCACCAGGACTTTTCAGCCTAACAGAATTAATGACACCTGAAATTATTACTGAACCACCATCCTCAGTCGTTGGCTGATCTGATAGATCTGATGTTGGCACTGATAAAGATAGATAGGTGCTATGGAGGGTGTGGTGCCAGACAAGAGATATTGAGGTGATTCCTAAGAACTGGCAAACTGATCTGACCAACCTTTGAGCTGGCGTACTGCATACTGCCCCAGAGAACAACTCCAGCTGCTCCCAAAGCTGCGCTTTCCCCAATGGTATTGACCAGATCTCTCTGAAAAAGAAAGCCAAATCCACACATGAGAAAAACAAATAAAAGTAAAAGTAAAAAAAGACAAAAGTAAAAGTAAAAAAAGCAGTGGGATATGGGCATCACTTCTTTTTAAAGGATAGTGGTGTGGACTGAATGTGTTATTTTCAAGAGGGTTGAGGAGGATTAGGGTATTTCCTATGGGACTTAATTAATTAATTGGTTAAAAAAAAAAGGAGTGTGTTAATTAAAGATCAAAATATCAAATGTTAAAAGAATGTGAAATTCAGTGTCATGTGTTAGTAATGAGGATTCCCAAGTCTTTGTCATCTGCAAAACATTTTATGGTTTACCCAGATGCAAAGACTGGATGTGATTCTACATTACTCACATAACGGTTGAATGATTTTGCACTAACACATTTCAGATCTCATTAAAAATCAATCAAAACTTATCAGACCTCCAGAATAAATAATCAATAAATATTGAGGATTGCTGGATGAACTAGGACCTGAGAAAACCCTGAAATACATTTTTTGTAAGTAATATGCTTTGGGAATTACACTGCTTGACCAGAAGTCAGTAAATCTAGTTTTTACAACCCCATATTCCACATCTTTCTTTTGTTAGTTTCATCAGATCCACAAAAATATTACAGCACTTCATATCCAATTAATATGGATATAAAACTGACAAAACAAATCCTTAAAGTTCATCCAGGCCTCTAGATATGTGAAGTCCGATGGCACTGATAATTTCACACCTAAGTCCCTGAGGCACCCACTCTTCCACTTTCCTGCAGTCTAGTATTACCACCTTCACAACGCTGAAAAATTCAGCATTTATCTTTGGCTAAGGCCAAAATTTGGCATTTTTTTGGAAGGAATGTTCTCACATGGATTCTTAAAGGACTCTTAAATACCTGCACATGTGCTAGATGCTGGTGAAAACAGCAGTTCACCACAAAAATATTGTATAGGACTTCATTTAAATGCTTTCATTACACCTTATATTTCCTGGTTTTGAATTTTTTGGAACAAATATCAAGTGCTAAGAGTCCTTCCCAGAAGGAGGGAAATAGTAAGAGCTGGTCAGATATATAATATCCAGATAATCATTCAGAGAGGGTCACCTTCATCGTGAGGTTTCAGATAACATCTCTGTCTGATGCCATTTTGCTTTCTACCAACTCAATGAACATTCAAAGGAGAGAAAGAGAAATAAGTGGGAACCCAACTACAGCTTATAATAAATTTGCATTAATAATTAGGTAGCCTGCCCACAAGGAAAGACATAAGGTTTCTGATGTCAATTCTAGGCATAGTTATGTCTTTTACTGAATCAATGTGTCAGGTTCAGTACCTCAAAACCCATCAATACAGAAGAGTTCTTCCTCAAATGACCTATGGAGGAGGTTGCACCCTCCAGGGTGCTGGATTCATCCTGAGCAGGTTGGGAAGACAACAGAACCAAGAGGTTTTGCACCAGAGGCAGGGACTCTGACCACTGGATGGTCATGCAAATAAGGAGGCACCACCCCCTACTTCCTCCTCTTCTGCCACAGACAGGGTTAGAAAATAAAGGTTTCACTCTTCATTTGGGTATTTTGAGAAAGGGAAAGATATGTGCTACTCCTAATAGCCGAGAATGACAAATCTGGGCCAGAGATAAATAGAACCCTCCATGAAGAACTGAGTGAGGCATATGAACTCCACCAGCAGCCTCTGATGGAGTTCATGACACAGCAGTCCTGATTTTGGGACTGAACCATGTGCCCCTTCTCACACAGCACAGCTTGGCATTGGTGGGGGCTCACTGGAATGGCTCTTCTTTGAGAGTGTAACAAAAGCCTCATATGGAAGAAAGCATGCAATTTTCAAAAAATAGATATTTTAAATATTAATATCTTATCATTTGTCTAGCTGGGAATCCTAATTTGTTTCTTGTATCAGACTTTGGCAAATGGTGTTTGTTCAAATGATTAGCGAGTCAACAAGCCTCTTCCCTCATGATGCTCATTTTTGTTCAAGCTTTTGCGGGCAACATGCAACTACCTAAGGTCCTCAAGACTAGGCTGGGCTCTCCCCAAATAGACACCTGATTTAGCAGGGAGGAGGAGGCTTTATTGTCTGTCAATGCTTCTTTGTATTTTGATCACTCAAGTCACTGCACTAGACCTTAAAAGAATAGAAGGTGAACTAAACCATTAGTTGTGGAGCTCAAAATGAAACAAGACAGTCAGTTCTAGTTACATGTTGAGGAAAGAAAAATATGCATATCTGTAATCTTGAAGAGCCTTAAGTTACAGACAAGAGTTTTCTGTATTCAGCAATAGTCATTCAAGCCTGGCATGGTTGCAGGGGTTGTTGTCTATACACATGCACACCTGGTCATGAGAGAAGATTATCTGTAGGGAAACAACAGGATTACTATCCATTATTAATCATTTGCCAGTTGCCATCCTGCTTTATTAATTATTTCAGCCATTTAGTCAGGAAGAACAGATGCTACTGTGCAACTTCCCTTCCCCACATACTTAGTAGTGAATTGTCTAATCAGAAAGTTTCTAAATACTCTACAGATAGCAAACTGCTTATACACATTTCTAGCAAATACAAAAGCCTTTCATAATGATTTGGATCCCAATCCAGAATTTATAAATTTCTTCCAGGATAAAAAGCAGGATTAATTTCTCAGACATCTTATGCACAACTCACCTTACTTCCAGATGCAGTTGGGGTGAAAGGTACAGCATACACAGCTACAGCATCTGTCTGGGATCTAGGCCTTTCAACTTTCTGAAGGTTTGATAGACCTGTGTCTCTCCCTCAGTGACTGACTCACAACCATTTTTTCTGACTGTACTGTGCAATTTCACAGAAGCCCTTTGTACAGAAGAGCTTGCACACAATCTTGGATATCAATACTGTTTCTGTTGGAACAGAAAGCACAGCTCTTGCACAGCTCAATGGAGCAAGGCTGTAGTTTTCCTGGCCCAGTCCCTGCCAGAATTCAGGAAACTATCCCATCTGCCCACTGCCCTGATTTTTCTGTGGCTATTTAGCCTGGAAGTCATTGTCCTGGGACCTTTCCTCGTCACCTTCATCACATTGTTTCTGGAGCTCAGAGGTTTCATGCCTTGTTTGAAATTTTGTGAGCATCACTTAGGGGCTTGGCATGCGTCAAATGAGAAGCTCCAACCTGGTCTCCTAGTCTAAAATCTGAACATACAAAACCTCATTTAAATTATCCCAGTGGCTCCAGGGCTATGAAAAAAACAAGACCATTATTTTCTGGATAATTTCTATGTTTTTAAATACAACCCTGTAAGTTTCTGTCAGACCCCAAGCTGTTCCCACAGATGATGTGTGTAGTCTGGCCAGGTTAAGCCTCTCCCATGTTGAGTACCCTGTCCATGCTGTTCTTATTAGAAAATACATAGTGGAGCATAATGGAAATATGTTTTGCTGACTATGTAAAGATCTTTGTAAAGTTGTAAAGCAGTTTTCCAAGCATCCAGTAGTAAATGGCTATATGCAACAGGGAAACAGGTGGGTGAGTTAAAGAATGCAATGTCAGAGAAGCACCACTCCAAATTACTACTGTAACTGTTCAGAAAATATCTTAAGGTGAAATGATAACTATGTACCACCACAGATTTTGAACTGGTAGCAGCATGCTAGTTTTCATAGCTTTCAGTAACATGATATTTTTATACTGATCAAAGAACTAATTAATTTTATAAAAATGTATTATTACAGACTACACTTCAAGAATTCTTATGTATTTCCTAGCCTGAGTTCTTCAGTGAAGGTGTTCTGGGTGACATCCTGCCTTTACTCACTTCAGTGACTCCTTGCCTTCAGGACTAGACTGGCCTATCTGCCCATAATTTCCACAGAGAAAACAGCTCCAGAGTGTTCCTGGTTGCTAAAAATGAACCAGACTAAATTCCAAATTACTTCTATGTACAATTTGCTTCTCAAGGGCAGCCTGAATGTATCATTTGCTTCTTGGGGTCAGCTTGACACATTTCTCAGATGCTCTCTGCTGCACCTCCTCAGCTCCAGCTGAAGGCTGAAGCCTCACACAGCTTGTGATTTACTGGACTGAACTTTGCCTTTTCCCTTGCCACTTCTTGCCCTTTTTATGTTCTGGTTTGAGTCAGGAACTTGTCTCTGGCAGCATTAGAAGGAATCTCCCAAGCAGCTCTCCATCAAATAAATGGAGGCAGAACCCCCAGATACCTTTGTTATCAAGGGGTAATTTCCATGAGTCCCCGTCCCAGATTTTCTCCTTTCTCATGGAATTGATAGAAACCAAAGAAAAGTTTTTGGCACTTCAAGTAACTATTAGAGAAATGAATAAGTGACTGTGAGTCTCTATTATGGGCATAAACAATCATCATTACCTATCCAGAAAGTCTGAGATTTTCACATATATAATTTACCATCAGTGTTGTGGCCACTACATATTTATTACACTTGATCACTGCTTGATGGGACATTGCATGACTCAAAAACTGGGTTTCTTTGATAAAAAGACTCCACAATTTAGCACTAAATGTTAGACATGAAGATGTGATACTTCTGAAAATTGAGATATATGGCCAATGCTCATCATGCAGGAGTTAGAAACTCCAGGGCAGACTACTTTACTTGACTAGTTTATTTCTATATTGAATTAATTTACTTTTGCATAAAGAAACAACAAAGTCCTGAGGATATTTTCTCATGGAAGTTTATCTATGCATTGCACTAATTAATTTTAAGCTTCACAATATCTGCCCAGCTCATTTCACAAGCTGCCCTGAAAAATAAAAATATCACAATGAATTACTTCCTTAAGGAATATAATTCTTCGTACTTTCTTGCTAAATTACCTTAATTAAAAATATACAATGTTATCTCACAGAGGTAGAAAAAACCACTGCAATATTAACTCTTGAAAGGCATAGAGTCTTGTACTGTGACTACAGTACTACCTCTCAGGGGGCTGCCTTAAATATGAAAAACAAATGTGTAAGTGCTTTTAGAACATATTTTTTCTAAGAGGCTATTTCTAATTTCTACATTTTGAAAGAAGTCTGTCTGCTTACCTCTGTTAAAACATGAAAAGTATAGGCATAAAATGGTCTGGAGTAAACAAATACAGGCAAAATGTAGTCTTTTCTAGCAATTGAGGCAACACGTATTGCCTCTTTAACCCGATAGTGAACAAATTTTAGTGCATTTGGACTTGACTTCAGTATATAATCCAGGTATATGGAAGGGTAGAGAGCAGTGCTTTCCTTCCACAACCAAAGCAGGAGGTCATTGCGGAAAGACTCAATGGGTGGGCATTTCCCTGTGTATGTTTGGGGGTGTTCTTTGTAATCATAATTGTAGCAGTCTGGGTAAAGATAGTAACCCCACAAACCATTTGGTCTCATATGCTCAGCCAGAAGGATGGTGTTATTCATGAAACTCCTACCAGCATTTTCAAATTCCTCTTTAGCCACTTTCCTAATTTTGTCCTCTGGCCACCGAGGATGCCGTCTCCTAACAATCTCGAGAGATTTATTTCTATAAATGCTTTTATTGCCCCAGTTCCTATCCCACTGGGGCCTCCAGTTTTCCCAGTCAATGACTGCAAGTCCCTGAAATTTCTTCATGGGTATGCAATAGTCAATGTCAGACTTTGCTTTGCTAAGGTGTTTGATAAGACTTTCGTTCTGGGGCACCCCTCCATTAACGGGATCTCCATTATCTGAGTAGTAGGGATAGTATCCCAAATGGGTGTGATAGAAGATGGTCACATTGGATCCACTCAGAGTCTCATTGATGTTGGATGCAATGTCAAAAACACTGAGGTCCAGATCCACCTTGTAGCGCAGCCTGCACTGCTCGGTCGGCGCGTTCCAAACAACCATGAAAGGCTTGTGCAGAACCGGAGGGGCCCGTGCCGGCTTCGGCAGCTGAGCATCAGCCAGAGTCAGCAGTGCCACTGCTGCCAGCACTGTGACCCCAACATCCATGGCTTGGGCTTTTTCTGCTATGGTGTGTCCTTGAAAACAAAACCAAGATAAGATGTCAGAAGGGCAGCATGGAGGCAAATTTGATGGTAAGGGAATGTCTTTTGGCTTGATTTGCGTTTGATAACATTAACCTCAAGAGAGAAAAGTGCAAAACTGATCTTGTAAAAGTTGACACTAATTTCAAATGCTCTGAAAAACATTTTGATGGACTACACTGCCTGGAAACTTCACTTTCATTTCACCTAGACTCCTCACACAATTGTTTCAGACCTTTCCATAAAATTTATTTGTTCTCTCATGTCTACAAAACATTTGAAATTTCAGCTTCAAAACAAGCTCTACTATGGTCAGTCTGACTTGCCTAGAAGATCATTACAGCAGGGCTACAGTCTTCACTATCTGTATTTTCAAAGGGTCAAAATAGGAAAGGTAATTTCAACAAAAGGCAGACACTTCTACCTCAGATTAATGAAGACGACTCAGAAACTGCAATTTTCAGGATAGGATAAAATATGTTAATCGGATCTGAACTAGCTGAAAGAACATGCTGTATCTTTGAAAATGGAGCTAGATTTTAGAAATTCATCTTAATTTTTCCTTTCAGGGTCTGATGTTTTCTCTGATAGTCACACTGGCTTGGGGCTGCAGTACTCTGGGAACTGCCAGAGCTGCAAGGCTGCTGGTACCCCAGACACACTCCTGCTTTGTACCCCATGTCCACAAGTCCCCATGTCCTCCAGAATCTGCCTCTACTCCAAGACCTGTCTCTGCTCCAGTCTCATCACAAACAATACAACTCAGGTCTGTCTTGGGTTTGTTTTTCAGGTTTCTTTGCTGATCTTTTTATGCTACAGAGATCATTAAAGAGGTTTTTCTATGAATATATATAATACAACATAGTTTATCTTCTCAGCTGTTATTTTATCTCATTCACCATTTTAGATACATGTTAAATCACTGCAATCACTGTGTACATTGCAGGTTCAATACATGCACCAGATGTGAATTTTAAATGTCCTAAAAGTGGATGTTTTCCTATTTTTGCATCCATTTTAATGATTTATTTCCTTGCCGCTAAAGTCTAGCTTTCCTTGTCCTTGGTACTTCCTCAGTTAACATCAGTTAATCATTGACTTCATTGACTAGAAGAGCTTTCTCCTGTTTGAAAATATGTTTGCTATAATAAGTTATATAATCCAGGATTTCTTTCTCTGTCATTTGTCCTTCCATGTCATTCTTCCATCCTCTGGGTTTGATGGATCTTTTCCTGTCTGACACTGCTCTCCTACTTTTCTGCCTTTCCCTTAAATTCCATTTTATCCTTATGCCTCCTACAGCACAGCCCTTCTCTATCCTCAGCTTTGTGTTTTTCCGTCCTCAGTCCCAGAAAAGCATTGAGTTCCCTCACCTGTGGTCTGATATGAGGGCACCTTCCCAAGATGAGAAGGAAGCAATTTGCATGGAACTGTGGCTGGGATAGGGAGTGAAGGACAGGACTGCAAGAAGCCAAAAGGCAGGATTTCCCAGCAGCAAGCCCTCACTACCAAGCTAAAGAGTTATGCTCTGTTGTTCCCTCACCCATTCTCTGAATGCTTGTTCTGTAGACCTAAATATAGATTTAGCACCCAGGTTTTAAAATGTTGTTCATAATCCCCTAGATCCTATGAAGGACAACATCCTTTAGTGAAATGGGCCATTGCCACCAAGACACTACTTAAAAGCTCTGCCTGCTCCAAAAGGACAGAAGGTTATTTTCACTGAACTGATTTGTTGGAAGGAAGTTTTAAGTTTGCAACTGGCATATTTTTCTCCATTTCCCCGCAGTCTTGCATAATCATCTAAGTAATGCCATGGCCTGAGAAAAACAAACAAACAAACAAACAAACAAAAAAGCCACAAAAACTGCCTTTCCCTTCCTGTTTTATACAAACTGAGGAACACACCACAGTACTCTGCAATTCTTCTTTGATGTAGCAAATGATCTTACTACATTGGTAAGTGATTTTTCATTATTTGGACTGGATTGCTTTGCAGTACATGTGAATAAATCCATAAGATAAACACCAATTTTCTTTAAAAGTGATAGCTCAGATAAAATGGGAAGAGCATCAGGAAAAAGGAAAAGACCTTTAGTGAATTTATGTGTAAGAAAAGATCTGGGAAAACATCCCAGCTTCCTGTTCCCACAATCCAAACACTGGATGGTTCAGCCTTGTGTTATTGTGTACATATAATTAGATCAGTTTTTTAGATATTCATGGCTAACACAGTACAGTTCTTGTCTAGATCTGAGAGGCCTAGACATTAGAATATTGCAGATAATAAATCATAACAGGGTTAGGTCATGAGATAATATTGCAGGGTATTTTTAGTATGTATTTTTAATTATTGGGCAATCCCTGTTGCCTGACAAGATTTTAAAGCCCCTGACAATACTTTAAGTAACAGAATAGTTGAAGCTGGAAGGGATCTCTGGATGTCACCTGGCTCACCCAGGTCACTCAGGACAAAACATCACAAGTGACAAAATTAAAACATGTATCTCAGTAAATGTCAAATAATTCTCAAGATTTGGATTGACGAAATCTTTGAAATTGTGAAGGCTGGACATGTTGCTCAACTCTAGACATGCAGATTTCTACACCTACAAGATGAATCCCACCAAAAAAAAAAAAAAAAACGGGGGAAAAAAAAAAAAAAAAAAATTGGAAATCTGTCTAATCCTGCTCAAGCTGTTTAGAAGTTAGGATCTGATCAAGGGCAGTCATTCAGGATCCTCTAGTGAATACTTGATACCTCAGAAAGTTGCTGTAAATTCCTTCTTTAAAGCTACATGGAATTAGCTACTCAGCAATCTCTATTAATCTAAATAAGATGGTAAGTGCATAGATAACATGCCTACCTTTTAGATGCCTAAAGAATCTCACTGCAATTAAAGCACTGCATTTCATTGCAAAACATCTCACTTTTCATGCTACTTTTTATTCCACACAGGAGATATTACCATATACACAGTTCCTTAAAGGGGAGATAATTAGAAGAAAAAAAAATCATAATTTGAAAAAGTTCCAATATAGTTGCAATAGTTGCATTAATCTGCAATTAATTCTGATGTTATTTGCAGATGGGAATTTAATTACAGATATTTTTTTCTTTAAAAATTCTCCTGAAGGCAAGGGAAACAAGTTTTCAAAGAAGCAGACAAGCCTACAGTTCTGAATGATGAGAAAATAAATTACCTGTTGTTTCACAAATGCATGAAGGAAAAAAGAACAAAACATCTTTTATTACAATTTCCATTGCTCTGTTTTTGGACTTCATTCTTTTTACTCTCATGCATGGCCACTAATTGGACTGCTTTAATCCCTGTTTTTAATGAGCAGAGACACTAACAATTCCACTCTGAAGCTCATTATCAACTTTGGGTCATTTTTTTTTTTTATTCAATGACACATTATCACGGTCAGTTTAACTTCTCAAACATGCAGATAGCTTTCTGTGGCACTATAGCGTTTTCAGAGCAGAATATGCACTCAGAGTTTCTGCTCTATATTCTAAAAACAAAAATGAGTTTATAAGTGAATGAAATGGGGTCTGATCACAAATCTCACAAAGCTGATGAGGTTTTTTTTATTGTATTCAGGAAATTCTGAATCATGTTTTCACTGCAAAAAAATAATGTAGTTTTCTATTTGTCTCAGTTTCTGTTATGCAGTCTAGGATGAAGCAGGTTATGGCTGGACTTCAATATATCATTTAGTAAGTTTGAATTTTGCCATTTCTTGAATTTCTTGAAAGATCAGCTCATTTCTGCATATTCCTTTCATAATTTTTATAAATATTGCAAACCTTTACTTTTCTCAAGCAACTGCTTAGTCCAACCTGTATTCAACTGTGTTTATTAGTCAGAATTCCACTGTATTTTGATTTCTAAGTAGTTGAAAACAACTGAACTAGATATCTTAATTGCACACTTTGATTCCAAAATATACCACTTAAAATTCATAAAAATATAGACTCTCATGCTATTTGCACACTGTGTGTTCCAATACACATCAATGGTGTTCTCTAGATGGACAGTTCTTCTCTAATGGTTTTTATTGATTATCCCAGCATTTTTTGTACTGCAACACATGACATTACAGCTGCTGCTTATTATGATTTTTATGTTGGTCATATAACCAGACAACACAACTTCGTAACAGCCACCAGTCATCCTCTCATTTTATACTCGTTTATGTGCTGACTTGAAGTATAGTCCATGCAATTAGCTATAACACAATTGGTTTAATCTGTGAAGTATGCATTATACTGCACATCTGTCATTGAACTCAATAATTACTCCAAAATTCAGATACAAACGTAAAAAAAAAAAAAAAACCACTGTAGTTCCTATGGTAACAGCCACTTATGATTCCCTCATAAGCAGTATCTGATTAACATAATTTAAAATACAGAATAGGAAAGAATACAGTTAACTCAGAGAGGAAAAATGACTTTTCCAACAAAAGAGTCATGTTTTGTGATCTAAACCAGATTTACAACATTTCTCTCATATGTGCTACTGACTCCTGTCTTGCAAATGCTGAGCGTGCTTCACACTTTGTTTAGTGGCAAGCATATTCATTTTAACTAGTGTTTCTCATATTCATAGGAAATTATTTTTCTAGGAAATGAAGTAAAATCTGCTGACAAAAAGGGAGAAAATGAAACTGAATTGTTTGAATTCCTCTGAGGAATGTATAAAATTGGCAGCTAGAAGTAGCCTTTTTTTGAATGTAGGCTGACCTCATTTGGTGTAGAAGTTATTAGTATGGCTAAGAAATACAGACATTTCTACTGTATTTTAGGGGGGTTTTTTTTGCCACACAATGACATTTCAAAATTGCTTGCAAATAATTTAAAAAATCTTGTGCATTAATACATGATTCCCTATGAGGTATAATTTATATGCACATCATATATATTTACAATGTGTTTATCTACACATTTGTATATTTCTCTGTCTTCTTAGGAAATACAGGAATTACCAAATCTGTCCAGTCTGCCTCTCTCTTAGTCTTACCCTGTAGTTTTTCTTCAGTTTGAAAATTATGCAAAAATTCTTGTTTTTCCTGTTTTTATTGCATAATGGCTTTCATGAGTAAGCTGGAAAAATGGACAGAGAATATTGTCTTAACAGAGTATTCTATCTTGAAACATTCTGGTGTCCAAAATGTAAAACTGCATTAGAGACAGATTAAGTATTCACTGTACCCTCACAATTACCAGTTTTCAGTCTCTCAACTCACATATCTTTGTCATTCTCCAGTTATATTTCTCATATTAGATCCTAAGTTAAAAATGGACAGAAGGACAACAACATCCTGAGGAGAAGGACTTGGGGTGTTGGTTGATGAGAAGGTCAACATGACCGAGCATCCTGTGTTTGCAGGCCAGAAAGTCAACCACACCCAGGGCTGCATGAAGAGAATAATGACCAGCACTCTGCATCTCTACTCTGCCCCGTGAGAACCCACCTGGAATGCTGCACCCAGCTCCAGGATCTCCAGTATAAGAACGACATGGATTTGTTCCAGTGTATCCAGAAGGGGTTATGAAGATGCTCAGATGCTCAGAGTGCCTCTCCCATAAAGACAAGCTGAGAGAGTTGGGGTTGATCAGCCTGGAGAACAGAAGGCTCTGGGGAGACCTGAGAGCAGCCTTCTGGTACCTAATGGGGCCTACAAGAGAGATGGAGAAGGACTCTTTGCAAGGGCATGTAGTGAAAGGACAAGGGGGAATGGCTTCAAACTGAAAGAGGGTAAGTTTAGATTAGATGCAGGGAACAAATTCTTCAATATGAGGGTAGTGAGGTTGCCAAGCATGGAGTAGCATCTCTTTATTTTCATGCAAAATATACAAAAAGAAATTCAAAGACCAAGGAGATGGGGATTCAGGCATATGATATCATTGCTGATGTTTTTGTGAACTGTGGATTATTCATGTAAAAGCAAATGGAAAATGCCAGAGGACATTCTTTGGTGCGTATCAAAGATTTACAGTAAATAATTTCTGGGGCAGAGGTTTGCTGAGGCAACTCCTGTTTAGCTTTATTTCTGTTATGTGCAGCTTGTGTCATGCCTTAAACTGAGAGAAAAGCAAGGAAACATGGAAATGAAAGGGAAAAAAGCTGGTATTGACAAGACATTGTTCCCATGGAGCCTGAAATTATTCTATTAAAAATAACCATTGTAGTTACAAAAAAAACCTTCCTATGTCCTGGTCTATCCTCCTCTACCTGTAGTACCTTTGTCTCTAGTTATTAGAGGCCAGACTGATACATGTTCACACACATTGTTTCTTATGCCAAGTCATTTCACTAGCACCAGCAAGATTGAGGGCTACTCAGCACAATGACAGGGAAAATAAAGACACAGATCATGAGTCCCAGTATTACACTAGTTAAAAGATTGTACTGTCATTTTAAATCACTGGAGATTATTGATGACATTTTGAATACCAGGGGAAGATAAAGTAATATGGTTTAAATCTGTCTGTGCAGTAGAGGGAGATTGAATATATATGTGCCACAAACAATTTTTCAATTACTGAAGGATTGAGCAAAAGAAGTATTTTGTGTGTGGAAGAAACATCTGGAGTATTATACCATTTTAGATATCAAATACATTAATTTAGCTTGCATCTAATAATTAATCACTAATGTAATCTTTCATGCAAAAGCCTGATGCATTGTTATTTTCAATTCCAGTCCATCTGCTCTATTGCATTATAAACTGAAGACAAAGGTATTCTAGGAAAAAATATTCCAACATTTAAAGATGCAAAATTTATGTCAAAAGTTCAGACTTTTATATATATTTCTTCTCTATATGCAAAGACTAAAGGAGAGAAATAAATTGGTAGGTTATACCTTTCAGCTCTTAAAGCCTTAATTCCCTGAATAATTAAGACTAATATCTTCAGCATTGTTCAGTACCCTCTTCTGGCTCTGACCTTCAATGGGTAAAAATTAAAGTGCCAACCACCAGCATTCCATCAAGTTTTCACTTTTTTATAGATTTTCCTTCTAATTTTATCACTAAATATTCCTAACTGAAGACCATGAACATTAATTGACACTAATAGAATACATCCTACCTTCTGGCATGGAATTTTAATAGCTTATATGAATGTATGAATTGGTAATACTGTACAATAAATAATACATGAGTTTACATTGTTGCAAAGCATTTAAAATAGTTTAGCTTCTTTCACACCATCTGCTAAATTCACACATTCATTTTCTGAAAGGTTTTTTGTTATTGGAGACACTTATAAAAGAGAAAATTAAGTCAAATTGATAACAGAGAGAATGCCTACAATCAGGCCTTGGTTTATTCCTGAGAAAATGCTCTAAGCTAAATTAACTTTAGCTCACACAAAGATAAATTATGCTTTCAGATAGTGTAATTCAAGAAAATTCAATTGAAATTAATTGAGGGGTATAAATCTGGAAATATTCCAGCTGAATTCATGGAGGTATTAAGCATTTTTAATTTTGTGAGAGGAAAAATATATCCTTTAGTCAACTAAAAAATCCTAATATGTTGGCAAACTCTTAAAACATTTGTGTATATTTCCACTGTAATTCTGTGCTTGCAGTAAATAATTACTATTCTTTGGATAGTACAAAAAGGAATATCACACTTTGACAACAGAAACTCAAAACAAATTGGAAAATACATGTAAAGCATTTGAGGTGAAATTAATGTTACATTTTATTTGCATGCCAATACACAGCTTAGTTTGTTGTCTACATTGTTTCAAATAAATGAATTTAAAATACCTCTAGTTCTACAAAAACCCAGCACAGTACATTGACACCAATCATTAATGAATGGAACTCATTTTCAAACAATGAACTGCATCTTCTTTTGGGCTTCTCTTGAGATTGTTTTAAAATGCACTGTTTGTAGGTGCAACTGCTATTTGGAAAAATAATCCCCTGAATATTCTGCTTCTAATGAAAGAAGTATTTTTTATTATTAATATGGGATTAAATACCCAAATAGCATGCAATTAGCTGCCTTCTGGGTGAGCAGCATTGATTGCACAGCCCAGTGTGTTTAAATACTAAATTAATAAATCAAATTCTGAAATAACCTTTAAGTCAAAACATTACTCTTCTATTTGAAATGTGAATTTTATTCACAAACAGCATGTCAGTATCAATTTTCTAAACTAAAATTGCTGTTACATGTTGGAGTGTTATGTACCAAATAGATATTTGACAGAAAAAAATACAAACCAAGAAATAAAATATAGTCCAGAATTGACACGGTACAGAAAACAACAGAGAAATCCTTCGTAACTGGTAGACTACAAGCAGAAGTGAAAACTTTGTCTTTATGATTGTTAACTGAGTAAATAACATGGCACTTACCTCGATAAAATCAATGAATGGCAGAAAACTTTGCTGAAACTATTTACAACAGCTAATGTGTTTGTCCCCGGAATGTGCTCCTCCTAATGAGTGGGCTTTTAACTAATGAGAAACTGAGGGCATTTGAAGATGAGAGCAGAATTTCACCTAAACACTCATCATGTCATTGTAAAATAAGTAGGTGAATTAATTTAAAGGTAGATGTATTACTTGTAAGCATCTCGGCTCTTTCTGTAATCATTTTGTATCGCCTGCTTTATGACCTGATATGGGATCAACCAGACTGGTGTTTGAGGGGAATTGTGTTTTGAGAGTTACACACTCTGGACTCAGCAGTGACAGGCATTAGCAGGAGGGACATCTAGGTCATTGCAGCACGAGGAGAAGCAGGGATGCTGGCAAAACCAAGCTTACAAAGTAGTTCAGGAAGAGTTATTTTAAAAGTTGGCTAGGTGGCTGAGTCCAAAGATTTGTGGTGAATGGACTCAAATCTAGTTGTGTACTGGCAGCTAGTGACTACTGGTGTTCCCAGGGATGATCCTTTCCAGACTCATTCCATGATTCTATCATTTGCTCATAATCCTCCCTAAAACTAAATATTAAGTGCTCAGTCTTTGCTATTCCTTGAACATGACACATGGAAGTGGACCCCAGGGACCACCACCAACTGATTCAGTGTCTTCATGTCATGGGTTGTGACAGTGACCAAAGAAGGGCAGAAGGGAACAGAAATGTCACAGTTCCATAAAGAGGCTTTTAAAGTGTGTCAGCATGACACCTTCAACAGCTACATGGCACCTCCATGACCAGTCAAAACCCCATCAGACATATAGGGATGGATAGAAAGAGTCCCTGTGTACAGAGCTATGATGATCAAGGGCATTTGTGTATCCTAACAATGCAGACTAACAGGTCCAAAATGTCCATATCCCCATGAGGGAATTGTGAAGTGTAAAAGAAGGAGACCTTGGGTTTCCTCATCCAGTCAAGCATGACTGTTGCCATTTAAGTATTAAATTTGAAACAAATGCAGGAAACAAGTACAAAGAATTATTGGAACAACTACAGACATTTTTGTTATTGTTCTTGCCACATTTGTCTCCGAAGCTGCAAAGCTTGCATAGGAAACAAGTAGCTCCCTGAACCTTGGAAATAATAAAGGCAAGTTTCCTATGGTCCTATGTCTCATCCTTGACTGTGCTCCAAACTAAGGTTTCCCAAGGCTGAGGCATGTACAGAAGATCTCTCTGGCACTGGTTCTCCAGATTGCAGCATGACTCCCTTTTTTTGCCTTTTACTCAGCAGGTTGTTTCCACCAATGAGTTGGTTTCTGAGATGGTATCTGATACCTGAACCTCTCCAGTGTCTGGCTGATACTTGCTGTCAGGGAGGGACATGCACTTACATGGACAAACACATAGGTGTTTGCTCATATCTGTAGGGTCAGAGAGGGCTTGAAGATCACTCCTACAATGGGAAATGCTGAAATAACTTCTGATTACTGACTGTTACCCAACACCACCAGTAGTTCTGCTGGAAGGTGTGTTTAGCAGCTGTCCCAGGCATGCCCCAGTGCAGCCCTGCAGCGCTGCTGAGGGAGGTGCCCCGGCCGTGCTCAGGGTCCCGCAAAGAGCACAGCCAGCAGCGTCAGCCAGCAGGCACTGCTCTTCCTGAGCACCTGCCAGACCTCAGCAGCACCTCATCCAAAACAATATTTGCCTAAAATAGATTATAAGACAAAGGGTGAAATAAAACAGACAGCTATTCATGTTTGGCCTTACATCCATCTCTTTTTTAAGACAGATTATCTCAGCCTGTAGGCTCAGGAATGGAGGCCAATCTGACACGTTTGAAATGTCTCTCCATGTGTTTCTAGATTAATTTCTCCTTTGGAAGGGGGCTGCTATTGTAGGTACTGCCCACCTCCTCCTGGATACACAATTACCCTTTTTACAAGGGTTAGCATCCACTTGGCCCATAAGCTCTGTGCAGCTCAGCCTTGACAGATCTGCAGTCATATACCCTCTCCTTCACTTTTATTCTTCTTCTAGGTCTCATTTCATGTCACTTAAACATTTCTTTTTTTCTTATCTGCACTCAGAATATGAAGCAAACATATTCTTTTTGCTCAAAAGAATATGAGCAACTTTGTGAGGAATTTTTTCCCATTAATCTCTTTGTTCTCTCTGTTCAAAAATACCATGCAAAGAGTAACTTCCCAATTAAATATTAATAAAATATGACTATGTAAGAGTAAAATATGCACACACTGTTCACATGTATTTGGGTTATATACATTTGTAGGTAAAATCTTTGCTGTGGTCAAAAAATAGATCTGAACACATTAAAATAAAGTGGAAAAGTGGAAGAAACAACATAGATAAACCTGCAGAAAACACTGCATTTCCCCAACTAAAGTGATAAAGAACAATAAATTTGAAATATTGTAGTTTCACTTGATATTTGGGAAATGGAGATCATGGGAGAGATGCAACAATTGCCATGAGTCAGCAGCTATTGATTCCCACCATTTGACAAAGGATGTCTGTGTGTATATATATAATTCTGACGGAGAGGAGAATGACACCAGGATTTGCAGTCTAGCTCCTGCCAACCTCCTCCTGTGCTATACAAAACTTCTGCTAAAAATAAAAGCCCAGAGCAGCCTTGCTCTGTCACCCTGAACTCAGTGTGGGTGTCTACATCAGGTGTCTTCCCAGGTCCTGCTCCTTCTTGGCAGCGGTGCAGAAAATGTTCTGGAGGACAGAAGGAATGATGGGCTGAATCAGACGAGGGGGAACTATAAGGAGACACATTTGGACACATAATTCAGAGGGACACTTATGCTTTGGTTTTATTTGAATTAGAAATTAAACCAAGTTCTTTGTAGTGGAAGGAATTTGAGAGAGAGTGCTATATTTTATGTAAAGCAGCATTTGTTTAGAGGTGGAGAGAAAGCTCAGTTGTCTCCAGCTTTTTTTATGTGTCTAAGAATAATAGTTTTATTTAAAATTTTATTCCTGATAAATGTAATTCAGCTTTCAATGCATCAAGAAAGAAATGCCTCAGGAAATCCCAGTATGTATGTGGGTTGCCACTTGAATAAAATATCATATGTTCTCAAATACAGAACTGATCTGATTTGGTTTCTTTTTTTTTCAAACTACTGACAAAATAATTAGAATACATATTTTCTAATTAATTATCAAGCAGTTATTAACACTGGTGTTTAAATACTTAAAAAAAAAGACCAAGGTCTTTGTGCCATGTCACAAATGAATTTGGAAGAATAAAGCCTTCTAAAAAACTCACATGTAATTTAACATCTGGTGTAGCATAAAAACCCAGAATATGCATTTAATAGCAAAATTACTTTAAAGAGTTTTAGAAAAAACAATTCAACACTGTTTACAGAAAAACATCTTTTGCTTCATAGCTAAGAAAAAAGGGTGAGAAGGAGTATGGCAATAATTTAGTATCAGTCTGATTTTAATAACCATTCTAAAAATATATGTTTTCAGGTCAATTAGACCAATGGACTGTGGGTTTCATTTCAAACTCATACATGTATCTAGAACTGAATTTTGCTCCTAAATCCACTTTAGTTAACGTTCATGTGAAGTAAGAGGGCTTATCAGATTTCCAAGTCAAATCATTGCCTAAAAATGTGAACAGCACTCACTGATGCTGTTAAAAGCATTTGAACTGATTGGGCCTCATAGGACTAAGGGTCTGTATCTGTAAAAATATTCAAATATTTAATTCTTATTTACTGGAAATTTCAGTGCAGTGAGACATCTAGTTATCATTGGGCATAATGGCACTGAACCAGGTTAGCTACTTTGGAAAGTATTAGATAGTTAACTGCACTTTAAGCCCTCATGTACTTCTATAAATCTATCCCTTCAAGGGTTAAAGGATTAGGTCCCTCTCTTGCCTTTCTGAACACAATCATAAATAATAGAAGTTTGATTTAATGGTTCAACAAACTACGACTAAAACACACCCTGAACCTATCTAGCTAACCATGAGACAGAATAAACTCCCTCTCCCAGTTTTCTGTTTGGACAGGGACAAGTTTGGGTGCTGGTACCAATTCTTAGCCACCTTTTTGTCAACACTTATCACCAACACCTTGTTGGGGAACCTGTTGTGACAGGCTTTTGGTGAAGTCTGGCTGAAGCTAAGGATGCTCAGGTCACCTCTGCCAGAAAAGTTCTTGGTCCCTATTGCCAGTACCCAGCCTCATATCCAGAGTCATATCCACCTCCCTCAACCTGTAGAACCAAATCCAACACACCCCACGTATTTTGTTTGGAGGCAACTGTCAACACAACCCCCAGATGCCAAAGCACACATGCATACAAATATATATATATATATATGTGTGTGTATATATACACACACACACAAACTCTTTCACATAGGAGTGTCTCTGAAAAACATATGTACAACCTACTTGTGATTGACACTTCTGCTACACAGGAAAGGACAGTGGGCATGCACACCTTTAGAGTGAAAAAAGGTCAGACCTGTGTATACCAGGGATTTTCAAATCAGTCAACACCAGTGTGAAGTTTGGGCTAGCAATCCAACTTCATCAGGAGAAAGATAAGGGGTTTAATAGTGTTACATGGAAATTTTGCTATATGGTTAGAGGTTCTGCCCAAGGAACATCTGATGCTTACTCTTAGTCAAACACTAATCATGAGAAATTCAAGACAACCCCCCTTCACTATCCTTATGTTTTCTAAAGAACCAAAAAATTAATTTAAGACTGAACCTCTTATATCAATGCCTCTGCATTTCCACAAATGTTTAATTCTATAGGTAAATGTAAAAAACCTACCCTTCAGTAACATTCTCTGGATCTACCCAGTGGTTTGGCCAATCTTCGTTTTTAGGTATTCTTGCAAGGAGCTCCTGAGAACATATGTGGCATGATGGGCCTTTGCACTCAGGAATCTTATTCTGCTGATGGTCATTTACAATAAAAAGATAGATGTGTTTAAACTTCAAAACCTGCAAATATTTATAAGCTTATCGCTCTCAGAACACAGTTTTTGAGAAATTAATGC